ACCTCAGTCCAAGGCCCACAGAGAAGGCTTAAAATGGATGCCAAGTCGTTGTTAATAAGCCAAACATGTTTTTGCTCAAATATTCGTGTGTTTTTCCAGTGGAACCTTTATCAATTTGGTGACTCCTTTTGGCACGGGACGAGCTTAAACTCCTCCTCGGTTAACGCTATGTGTAACAGTTTCGCTCATCAGGGACTTCTCTTCATGTGGCTATGTTGGCTCCAATGAATCTTTCATGTGTTATGTTAAAACGTAATTTTGAAACACTTCCTCCTTGACATTCTTCTCAAGGCTCTTTACCCTTGTGAGTTATTATATTACAACAAATCAACGTGCAAAAAACAAACCATGTATAATTCATTGTTACATCTCTCTTCTCAAACTTGTATGGCTGGTATCAAATCAGAAGCATTTGACCCTACTATTTTCCTTAGAGGACCATCTGGTCCAAGAATCATCAATGCTGCAGTTGAGCTCTGCATAGCACAGTCAGTTCAAATTGTATTATTTCTACAGATTTTCAGATTGTTCCCGTTCCCATCCTGACCCTTCACCTTATCATTTATTCATCAATTAACATCAATTAACAAATGGTTCTCTTGTTATTGGCTTGAAATTTAGATTATGTTATTTATTTTTAAACTGACAGATTAATATAGAAATAACACATCTCTATGTGATGTGACTTTATGTCACAATCGTATGAAATGGCTTCAGGGAAACCAGTGAGCTGCCAAAAGACCCTCCCACACGGTTCCCATCACAAATGGCTCTTTACTGAGTAATTGTTTGAGGGATTTAATGAATAAATATACATCTGTGCACAATGGATGGTTTTGTTGTCAGAGTATTACATTTTAGCCACCGGGCAATTCGTAAAGCACGTTTAAATGTTGGCAAGGACTTTGATCAGCTGTTATGGCCCTACACTGTTGGACAGGTAAGCTTTCTTGGCAGAAACAAAAGAAACTATTAGATTGACGTACATTCCCAAAGTTACATTTTGATCTAGATTACAATTTTCTTGGCCAATTCCCATTATTATCCATCCGCGCCAACGACAGCTGTGGCCGGAAGTATATGTTTTTAGGTTGTCAAAGGTCAGGGTCACAGCAACCTCAAGTGAGTCCTATTCTCTTGAAGGCAATTTGTCAGGAAGGCCGTGAGCGAATTACTACAAGTTTGGCAATGATTTGACGCAATGATTAGCTGATGAGGTCATTTATCTGAATTTTGCTCTTTCCAATTTTTTGTCATGGAACTAGAATTGACAGCAAGTCTGCACACTAACTTTTTTCAACACTGTCCCAAATATTCTAAATGTTATCGTTCTACTTGTAGTGGTTATTTGCATAAAACACACAATTCATATGGTTCAGAAATACATTATTGCGTTCTCATTTAAATATCTTATTTTATTTAATAAAAAAAGTCTTGGCATTATTAGTTTTAACTATATATTAAAAGCTTCTTAGAGCTTATTAGAGCTAGTGTTAGGGAATAAACAGGTCATAATTCCCTCTCTGATATGTATTTCATAATGCTGTGAAAATATCTCCTTCAAAACAAATGCTAACCCTAACTCTTATATAGGTTTCCAAAAACTACATTTTACAAGATTACATTTGAGTACATCATAATAGCGTTAGAATCTACCTTCGCTCAATACTTTGTTTTACAAAGCAGAGCTTGAATGCATCATAATCAAGTAAATGTAACCTCCGTTAACGTTAGCTGTTGGCTCAGTTACAACCATGACCTTCGAATTGAATTGTGATTCGCATTCAAGAATTGAATTAGCAGCATGCATGGGAATAAATTACGATATAATATCTGATTCAGCTGGTTGTTTGAAATGTTTTTCCTCTTCCATGTTTTATTTTGGACTTTCATTCGTTACAGATTACTGGATGTATGTCGTCTTTACTCGCGCTGAGGAACCACCACCCCAATGACATGTTGTGTGTGTGTGTGACTGTGACGTTACTGTCTGTGCCGCTGTGTGCCGATATGAAACTATCATGCGGCACACGTGTGTAAATGTCAGCCAGTCATACACAATCAGCTGAAAACCGTCTGGTTTCGAACGGCTGCTGATAGAACGTGCATCTATTTTTAACAAAAACAAACTTTTGTCAAATTGAAGCTCAACCTAATTATGATGCCAAGTGGAACTTGTGATTTTTAGTAACTTTTACATTTTGGAGACATTAATAAAACTTGCTTTATTGTTGTGGCCAACCATCTGGTTGAAATATGCCACAAATCATGCTCTCCACACACCTGGGACTCAGTCTAGTGTGGCAACTCCAATGTGTGCAAGCCCTCCAGGGCCCATCAGTCCACATGCAGTGCTCAGAGGAAACGTGGCATAATTGAGTCGGCCAGCAAACACTGGAGCAGACACCAGCCAACTGATGCCTCTACTCATTGCACAGCGGTAGAGCTCTGAGCTGTATGATGGCATCAGAAAGGAATGTGCCTGTTTCAAATTATTAAAGGCACTGCTTTTTCTGTTTAATTTGAGATAGAAGAGACAGCTGAGGTACTGACGAATGGGCTGAGAGCACCCTGCTGAGAGTGTAAGGTACCTAGGTGAGAGATTCAAGTGGCAGCAGAGAAAAGAGAATGGTTTAAGAGAACAATTTAGTACCGCAAGCAGCCAAATCCCCCTTCTAAGTTTAATTTGCCCTCTGTCTGCGGGCCATTCTCTGAGGGAGATCATTGTTTCCTCTTGTTTTATTTTTGCTTGCTCACCAGTTTCTTTGTCCAAGGCATGATTCCTTGGGCCTCAGTGGCTACTGACTCAGTTTATGTGAGTCAGGATATTGTGGCTGTGATGTTGTTGTCATTGGATTTATTTATGAAGTTATCAATATTTATTGTCTACTTTTGGTGGGTTTGGATGAAGTCTGAGAGAAAATTGCTGACACTGAAACATGACAATTCATATCTGCCAGTCTTAAATTAAAGGCATCATCAAATACTAACCGCGGGCATCGGTTTTTTCATATCTTATTTTGTGAAAGCAGGTGAACACATTGGCGTTATAACAGGCAGCAATTGGGGAACTTTGTTAACGGCATTTTAAAAAAACAACACTTTCATCCCTATTTAACTCCACTGAGTTACCAAGTAAAGAGGGCATTTGTGGCTCAGAGGTAAGAACCAGTTCGAACCATATAAATGCAAGTCCATATACCATCCATATCTGAAGCTGTGCAATTATATGGCGAAAAAATGCCACTTTAATTGAAACTTGACTTGATCTTTGTCAGGCCAAAATGGCATCTGTCCACCTTTCCTACATCACTTGTGACACAATTCTATGCACTTAGATGTATTGATCTTAATTATTTATTTGAGGATTCACTAATGCTCGTAAGTGCTAATAAAGTCCTGATAAAGATTGAAGCAAAATACTGTCCAATGAAAGTGTTGTAAATAAAAGTGTGTGAGATTTTACACATTACAGGCACTAATCAAAGGGTCGTGTCCATTTTTTGGCGAGCAAAGCCCTCGCCATGTTGCTCCTGCTAAGCCATTGGCTGATGTGTATCCCAGAGCTCCACTGAGTTTGAAGGTGATACAGCGTTTTGTGTATCACGGTCGGTGTAGAGTAACATTTAGAGTGCAGAGTCTTGTCAGCCTCTAAGAAAATCAAACCACAGCATTGGTACATACTTGAACCATTTGTACCCCTACTTAATACAGTAAACAACTGCATCCCTGATGTCATGTTTTGACAGAAAGCATTGGAGTTAGGCAGGTGCCTTCAGCATTGCTTCTTCTGGCTGCCCAGGAGATGTTGCCTCTTTGATTGTTTCTTTAAATATGCAAGACAGTGCTGAGGGAGCAGATTGTGTGTTCTAGATTTCCTGGGAGACTCCCACCTTGGGCTTGAACAGAGCAGTTGTGATGATTAGCAACAGAGTGTGCTGCCTCTCCCATAAGCCACCGGGAGGAGAGGGATGGGTCGAAGGCGTCTTGTTTCTCATATTGGTGCCTCCTCTATGATATTCACTCATCTTCAGTACTGTGATTACAGTTAGAAATGTTGACCTTTTGTCCTGTACATGTGCATCTATGTTTTTAGAGCTTGATGTTATTGAAGTGTAATTGAAGAGTAATACACGCTGACCTGTGGTGTTTCCCCAGAGTGTGGCCTCGATACGGTCTTCATTAGGACAACAAAGGTCTCTTCATTCTTGAACCAATTTGTTATTGTGTTCATTCGTGTAACAGAGACATAATGCCACTTTCTGGGATTGTGGGGGGTAAAACAATTATCTCCTCAGCTCGAGCGAGTTGACAAACAGGGCCTGAGGGGAGAAACTGTGCTTCTCAACCATCTACCCACTGTCACAATGACAGAAATGCTGGCACATGCAAACAAATGAAGAGGGGGAAGTCATCCGCAGGACTGTGCTCTGATAGTACAGCTGATGATGTTGCATATTATGTAGTTCCATCATAATGTGGAAGGGGGGGGGGGTCTGTCATCAATCACATCTGCCTTCAAACAAGCCGATGTTATACCATATGTGCAGTGGCCTTACAAATGCAAAGCTGGATGCAAATAATGTAATATTATTGTTGCCATTCAGTTTATGTTAGCAATGTGTTATGTGAGAGCAATTGTGGTTTATCTGTTTGATATAACATCTTGTTTAAGACATAGGACGGCTGTATTTTCTACATTGTGATACATCATATTCAGTGTTGGATGCAGGATGCATCATGAAGTGGCTCAGTTAAGTAGCCTATCAAATGTTTCAGCAGTTTTAGCTCAAAAAGTACCTTTTTTGTTTATCTTTTGTACGTTTTATTGAGAGAAGAGTGTTGTGGAACCAAAAAGCTGATGTCTGGAGACTATGGTTTTTAATTGGTTCGGGCTATCTGTTGCCATCGAACCAATCGCTGCCCGTCAGCTCAGGCTTTAATATGCATTAATGTATTGAGATTCTCATCTATGTCAATTTTTTGTTTTTTTTCTGCAGTGAAAAAAGATGTAAAAGATGAGACTGATGACAGAATGCAGCAATTCAAGAAAAAGGCGAAAGAGCTTCGTATCCTGGATTCCAAAACCGCACAGAATCTTTGTAAGTATATAGTTATGTTATATTTATAGAATATTTAAAGCCACTAAGCACAGGTTTAACACCATTAGTTCATGAAGTACTTTATTCTTTTAACCATGACCTTTGATGTCAGAAATGTCAGTGTTATTTTCCATGACCCCCCGGGCCCTTTCATTCCCCCATGAACAGCTCAACAAAGCTGTTTGTGGGAAACAAACAGTAGAAAGCCCTCAATAGTGATCGTGTTTCACTAAGCCCATTGGGGAAATGTTTTCCTGGCAGTTGTTTAGCGGTCATCACAAGTACATATAGATTGTGTCCAAGTTACCTGTATGTAATCATGTGTAAAGCACATTCCTACAAGGACTGAGCACTGATGCTACATGATTTTCAATCCCCAGGAGCTTAAGTGGTCTACATGTTTAGTTGATAATGGTGCACAGCTTTTACCTCACTTTTGTTGTGGTGGATGGAACAGTTTTTCGTTTGGGGATCATTTCAGGTTTGACGCAAATGATCTGCAAAAACATTCTGCCTTAGACTTTCACTACCAGCTCAACCCATGCACCTTCTCTCTTCCATGAGAACCTCCTTGATCCCAAATCCATGAAATGTGTGTATGAATTCACTACACAGAAAAATTGACTGGCAGCCTTCTTTTGATTGGTGGCTAGAGCATTTCTCATTGTTTCCCCAACTCTTTGGGATTTCCTCTGCAGCCTTGATATCCTTTACCTCTCAGATACAATGTTGAATACTAACACCTTATGAAATATGCATGTTATATGCTAAGATTACAGGTCACCCTCCTTCGCAACCCTTATCCCACCCTCTTTGCTTTCTTCTTTAAAAGACGAGTAGAGAGGTATGCAATTCATCATTTTCAGGTGACATCACGGTTTTATGGGAACGCCCCCCTGGAGGGCAAAACAAAGCTGCCTTCCACTGCCCACCAACGATGGCTCAGCTTTTACCACACTGACAGATAGTTTTTGTTCAATTTGATGCACAAACCAAAGAGGAGACAAGCCTGGGCTGTGTTTCTACCGAATCCCAGCTCAGAGCGAAAAAGCCAGAGAGGAGGAGATTGTTGGATTTGTGCAATTAGACGTGCCACTGTCCCGAGCAAGAACACTTCTGCTAAACCTGCCATGCAAATCAAATCACACTAATTCCTCCTTCTCCAGCTACCCAGCCTATCAATGGTGCATCATTTAATCTGTTGGAGTATAGTTAACTGGAAAATTGGAAAAATGTTCACAGCAAGAAATTAACAATCCAAAAATTGAAAATGTAAGCCAAGACATAATTTGGACATTTGGACAATGATCGTATTTTTTTTAATGTGCAAAACATACAAATAATACACTCTCCTCATAGCTACAAGTCTCCATTGACAGAAACAGTAATTCTACCTCACTGATCATTGAAATCGGTGATATTTCATTCACTCGGCAGAAACATTAACACATTAACACTGTCTTGGTTAGTCTTTCCATGTTTCCAACAATCACCAACTCTGGTTTGGTTGAAATCACTCTTTGATTTACTGTTAGATGTGAGAATATGCATGCTCTGCACGCTGTTTCCCCACTCACAAGATGTTTGCAACCAAAGGTTGGTAGCTAATTAGCACACATCTTCGCTTTGACGATGGATCATTTCTTGTCATATACCTCCTCAACAGCATTATCAGCCCATCCAGATGATCGGAAGTACTGGTAACTGTCTGTACTTTAGTACGCATTCATCTTGGCAGCGGTATACGGGATGGATTCTTCAAAATGACATATGTAATCATCAAGTACAGCTCTGGCAGGGACCTAGCTGTTTATAATGATTGAAATACAGCAGCAGATGCTGTATATGGGTCACTCGTGCCTCAGGCTTGCAGTTTGTTTCTTTTTTTTCTCTTTTGAGAGGTGATCTAAATACTTGCGTGTTGCAAATGATAACAATTTGACAGGCTTGAGTCACGTGACCCAAAACTATGAATGGCATACCGTAGAATGGGGTGAGTATTTTTCGGTTGGATAAATTCCTGTACCCTGTTGATGGGGACTGGAAGCAAACTAGAATATTAAATTAAGTTGCACTTGTGTAGGGCTGTGACAATGTTGGTATGTGTCACTGCCATCTTTGATTACAGCCCCAGCAGATGGGCTTCGAATTTGGCATGAAGCAAAGACAAGTGTAGACAATCTCACCTCCAGAATGGCAATAGGTGGAAGGCATGTGGTCCTACACAACTACACTGCTCCCCCGGGTCGTAGCAATATACTGAAGCATCCATGATCATATGCACTGCCCGGAGAACCCTCTAAGCTCCCTTTTCAATTGTGATGTGTGTTGATATTGAAGGTTCAGTGACTGGGATGGGTAGCGGGACGCAATTAATGATTGTGATGCCAGTGCCACTTCATGTATTCTGGTATAATGATTACCACTTTCAGCTTTTACAAAGAGCTTCAGTTGAGTTGACTTGTGGCTAAGCCATGTAGATAGATAATTGTAGCTGTCGAAATGAGATGAGACAGCTGCATAGAATACTTATTTCAGTGAACAAAAGAAATTCAGTTTGACTATTATCTTACTTCAGGGATGGTTGCATTAACCTACAGCCACTTTGCAAAGGTTGACGTCAAACATTACACCAAACATGTGGACAATTTTCTTTATATCAGTGGATCATCCATCTAGTTTTGAGTGAACGGTACCTTAATACCAAGTAGACGGTGTCAAATGAAAATATTTGGACTATTTACGTAGGTGAAAATTCTAACATCAAGTACTTAAAACCTGAAAGAAATAACACGATTCCGGTTAAATGATTTGATGCACACTTTAAAGGAGCATAGAGCTGGGCACAGCAACTAGAGCCCAGTTAAGACAACCCATTTTTTACTGTATACTGTATTGAATGCAGATCTTAAATCAAGAACAATCACAATCATGAATTCTCATGTCATTTGAGGAGTTACAGGAAACCTACAAATGTTCCAATAAGCACTTTGATATAGACACACTACCTTAGCTGTAATAGTAAATACTGTGGGTACTAACCTATGTAATGTCCCTTCTGTTTTGTTTGTCATGTTTTGTTTTATTTATTATTATTTCTTTTTAAATTTACTTGACCTTGTTTGTTTGCCAGGTGAATTTGTAATATGTGTGGTGAAAGTGCCTCGTGTAACTATCTGTTATCATTGTTTTCTAAATTTGAAATAAAGACATAAAGAAAAGAAAAAGAACAATCACAATTGAGAAAAATACATAAAAATAATCAGCAATCAGTAAATCATTTCTAGTCTTGAGAAGTTCCGTTGCTAAAACAGAAGCAGAAGCCAGATTGGACATGTTTGTATTTTGGAGATTATGCGCATTGTTTTTTCTGAAATCTTTAATATAAAAAAAATGATTGCGTTAACGTACTGTAGGCTTGAAATGTTTAAAACAATGAAATCAATGACTTCAGAAAAGGACACCTTGTACCTTATACAAGCAAAATTAGCAAATAGCAAAATTTGAAGTAACTTCCTTTCTTGAGTCCATAGTAAATGTAAAAAAAAATAAATAAGTAAATATAGTAAAAAACAATTCATGCTAGTGTGTGTTCATTTTTTTTAAATGTTTTATATGAAAGTGATATAGACACTCTTAAAATAGGTTCATGCCAGCTTTGGCAGGTCTACAGTATATGTGTGCACTGAGGCTCGGCATATATCAGAGATTCTTTGTAAAAGTTCACATTGTTCTCTTACTTATCTTAAACACACTGACTTCCCAAGGCAGCTTCTACAACTAATGTGAGCTCTAGTTGATCGTGTTGTGTTAAACAATTTCCTTGTAGGTATCCCACTATTCCTTAACTTGACACACATCTCTGAGCTGCAACTGTGGAGAACCACTGCGTCACACATTTTGTGTGCAGAGTAGCAAACAAAGTACAATGCCTCTCTAACCAAAGTCACCGCTACTGTTCACTGCCCTTCTTGTGCGCCTCCAGCAACTATATTGCGCCTAAGCAACATCTAAGACGCAGTCTTGGCAGGTGGATATACAGGTGCAGTTTGTTGCCAAAGTGTGTACCAAAACATGCATTAACACACCTCCACCTGCACCTCTTTGCTCATCACAGCACTGTTAGGTTAGCATGCAGCCAGGACCAGACGGGTGCAGGGCGACCACACCTATCACCGACAGCTTCTAGCAAGTTAAAATCCAACTGCTTCTGTAGATGGCAGTGGAAGTGTATTTTTCAGCCCGTAACTCTCTACCTGCCTCTTCTACCACATCTGGATCTACTTCAGTTTGTAATTTACAATATATCCCAGGATTACTTTTGACAACCCTCCCCCAAGAGAACGTTGTATCCAGCTGTTGGTTTCGTATGGGGAGGATATAGGACATATTGAGGTGACACTAATAGATGTATAGCATTTAGACGGCAAACAAGGATGACACTATCAATTTGATGCAAAATAAATCCCAATCAGGAAAACATCATGCTAATGAGGGGAAACATACATAAATATAGATCACAAACATCTTCTTCCTCTTCAGTTCTACAGTTCTGAGTCACCAGAAACCTGACACAGTGAAGCCAGAAAGGTTCATGTCAAGTAAATAAACCTGTGTATTATACCTCACATCAAAAGCAATAGTTGTGGTATATATGCCATGACTATGTACTCAGTAAATGCAGTAAATAGCCTGTGTGATACATAGTCATACTGTGACAAAAAAAAAAGATGCTCTGCTGCGTCTCTGTTTGCTGCGCGTCAAATACAGACATCAGGTCCCGCTGCAGCAGCAGAATAGCAGCTGTTGAGTGAGTCTCCTCCAACTCATTACCAAACCTCCACCTGTGACTTCCACCTGGATACACCATCAGCTCCAATTTCCACTGTAGGCACCCCACCTGGAGAGTGAAACACCCACTCGGCTGTCCCCTGAGGCAAATCCAGTGTGTTTCTTTGTATTCAACAAAACCATATAGCCCTCCCAGATGACACCAGTACAACTAACTTACTGTTATTAACTATTAATAATGTTTCCATTATTGTTCACTTTTTATGACTTTGTATGGCTTTGGCCTCTTTCTACGTTACTGGTAAATACTGATGTTTTCCTTTTGTCAGGGTGACACATACTATCCTGTTGAGGGCCATAAAGTGTATTTGTTTTTCCAAGTGACAAGTTAGGTCTGTGGTCATTTTGTCTGAGTAGCAATGAGTGCTGAAATGTCTCTTTGAACCCTGCGGTCTAATACAAAAAAGGGGAGGAAATGACTCTCTTCTCTCTCCATCACAACAGCAATTTTCTTGGGCTCGTTCCGCCTGCCTTATGAAGAGATCCGGGACATTGTGCTGCAGGTGGACGAGGAAAGACTGAGCGAATCACTCATCCAGGTAAGACTGATGTTCAGTGTGGTGTGTTAGTTTTTTTGCACACACACAAACACACACACTTGTTTTTACCCTCTGAAAAACGTGTGCGCTTTGAGTGGCAGCGAGTGAGGGAGACTTTCTATACACGTTCATGTGAAAACATTTTTTTATTTTATTTCAGTGTCTGGCGCTGAGCTTGGCGACCCCATTTTACACCAACTATGGTCTTTTCCTCCATTCTCATACAGACCATAGAGACCCCCTCATTCATCCTCTTATAATGGATGATGAAGGACAAGGCTTGGCAAAGTCCCCCCAACTCCACCCTCCTTTCCTCTTGCCTTTGTCTTAGACTATAATTGATGAGCTTCCTAAAGGCTTCTTGTTTTTGCTCCCATTTTATTTCAGTTTGTCTTGTCTCAGAGAGCATTAATTGAAAGCAGGACGGCTGCATCTGAGGTAGAGATGCAAAACTTGAGACCAAGATGCACCACTTGAGACCATGAGCCTCAGCTGCAATGATATCAGCTGCTTTGTCCTCGTGTTAAGCACCAAAGCAGTGCTGTTGTCTTTTGTTTATTTCAGAAGTAGGAGGTGTACATTTCAAGAGTGAGCTGTAAATAGAAGATTTCATTTCAATACAATAATGGCAGTGATACACCTTTTGTGTGCAATAATGTGTTTTTGTTTTTTTCAAACCAGCTGGGCATCATTGAAGTGCAGCTTTTAAGCTTAAATTCAGTGGTCTTTCCTGTCTTTAAAAAAAAAAGTAGATACATTAGATACGTTACCTTTGAATTGATATACAGTGAATGTCCTTTCCCACCTGGCTTTTCAACCAACACTTGCACAGGAGCCAGTCTACTCCTACCCTGATTGGATCCCAGAAACGTAAAAGGTGCTGAGGCTACATATATATATTTAGATTTGGCCTATCGAGAGCTACCATGCAAGACTATTATTCTGAGCTCTGATAACCTTTAATTGGCTAGAAATCTGGCAGAAAGTACAGAGTGTATGTTACGAGATGGCAGACCCCCCTCTGCTTTGTGAGGGAGAAAGGAAGTCAAGGTGTTGACCTTTTCCCACCTTCAGCCTTTCCGTAGCAAAATACAGAAAGTGTATATCTGCCAGCAAGACAGCTGTGTCCCCACCAGGGCCTCATTGCACGTAGTCTGGGTGCTTACATGGAAAAGAGCCAATCAATCCACCATCAGGCAGCTAACATTAAACTGACTTTGACCAAGCTACCGACACTAAGCTGGTTTCAATACTACCACAATTCAGCTAGCACAAAGTAAACACAAGGAAAATAGAACCAATCGAAACAAGCTACTCCATCCATTCTCAGATAATGGTTGTGATGCAGTTACTTTGACACAGGCATCCCTGTACCCTTCAATTTCATTTTGTTCATTGTTTAACAAAAAAAACATTTGAATCAATGATGTCTGGGATATGACAAGTGGTCAAGGATAAGTGACAAAAGAAAATGTTTGTTTTATTCTTTCCACATGCAACCACATTTTTGTTCGGGTTGCAATTGTCCCGATTACTTCTTCAATTTTCTTTTTTAATAAATGTGAAGCAGGGCAATGAGGCTGGTTTAAAAAAATGAGGGCTCAACAAAATTCATGAGAAGAAGTGTGAGTCAGCAAAAGCATCTGGGAACCAAGTGTATGTCACAGAGTCCAGGGGGAGGCGGGATGACCAACTGAGTTAACTTATTGGTGCAGAAGGAGCACACGTCTGGCAAGTGTGACGGCTAGATAATGATGCCGAAGACAGATTAAAGATTGGACTGGACAATGATGACAACACTCTATTATTATTAGTAGTAGTAGTAGTGGTAGTATTATTAATATTACTTTACAGTATACCATGTCTCCTCCTTTATGTTTGGAGTTAGCTAATATTGTTAATAATTTTGGTATTTTTTTTACACCCATGTTACAGAATTAAGCTTTAATCCCAATACTTGTTTTAATTTACCCATAGTTATAATTATACCCCTTCAGTTTTGCTCCAACAATATTTTACAATGTTAGCGTATTCAATGTGAGTTGATCACTTGGGATTAAGACACAAAGATATACTATACATATACTGTATATAGGTAAGCATCTTTCACCTTTTGGTTTTGCTCATAACTAAGTAATAACACATTGATTTAACTGTACAAATATGTCCTTGTGTTGGTTTCAATTTTAGACTTTATATTATGTGTTAACGTACTTCGAATTTGAATTGGAGTCATGGAGGCAAAGCATATATAATTGATATGCACTACATTACTTTTATTTAGATAAAAAAGAGAATTGATAATTGTTTATTTCAAGGGGTTTAACTTTACTTGAATTATATTTAATATGTGTCTGAACAGTGTTGAACTGATGTGAATACTTTAGACTGTATTCTTCCTCTATAGCATCTGTACTGTAGTGTTTTAAAATATATTCATGTGATGCTGGGAGCAGTAGGCCACGGCAAATTGTCAATGAAAAAAAGTTGTTTGTGTTTGCTTGACAGACAGCACCATATGAGATTAAAAATGTAGAAACATTTTTAATCTCAATACTACACAATATTGTGAGATACCATTTGGCAAGAACAAGTTTAGATTTGTGTTCATATGAAAAGGTCACAGATTGTATACTTGGACAACCCCCTGTTGAAATAAGAGTTAAATGAGTATAAGCTAAAATCATGCCAAAATGAGCTCACAAATTAAACAAAGGAGTCAGAGACACAGGCCTGAGAAATACAGTTAGAGCAATACAGAGAGAAAGGGGAGCAAAGAGACTTCCTGCTGGGTGACACAGTCCTGAGTGTGGGCTCCATCTGCACCGTGCTCATCTACACTCATTATGCTGATTAATCGCTTTACACCACCCACTCTCAGCCACACGCCAATCACCATTTATCCACATGGACAACTGCACACACATAATGAGTAGGAAGATGCGTCTGAATGGCTTGGGCAACACTAACAGGAAATGCATTTACCATCTTGCTAATGTTAGAAGGAGTAGGCCTGAAATATAGGTAAGTAAATACTGGAGTTGAAATGGTGAAAGAAAGAAGGGCCTAAACTATAGGGTATGTGCAAGATGGAACCTATGTTGCCTTTGATCAGCCATTGCTTAACTACTTGAGTAGTTAAGTCATTGCTTAACTAAAGTGTGCTCTTGTAGTTGTAAGCTACTTTCCACAGTTTTGATAGCTTGTTGCTACCTGTTGCGTTTGTGTTGAATAATTGAAACATATGAAATTGGCTTTGCCAAACAAAAGTGGCCCATTTGATGCCAAATGTCACAATGCTGAGTAGTTACTGATTCACCTACTACTGCAACCTTTATTGACACATGCACCGCTGTAGTTCAGTACCGTTACTCGTATTTTATAACAAAGGTGGTAAACAGGTTGTTGTTTTGATATCCTTTTCTCTTATGGACTGTGCGTTTGTATCTGTATGCGTAGTTGACACACAGTGTTAGGTATTAATGACCACTCCAACCTTGAAAAAGTGATACTGTATTGTACCCGACAGCTCCACAACGCTCTCCTGTATTCATGTACTGTAATGAATCACTCTGATAAACAACGGCTCTGTTTTAACTGACCATATATAGGGACAAAGAATTCAGCCAAGTTCAAATAGCTCCTTTTTCGTTAAGCAAGCGGGTAATTGATAAATGTAGGGAATAGTTTAAATGGAAGGAAGCAAGAGGTGTTTATAATGCATCTAAAACTCTGTAACTCAATCTTATTATCTTCCTTCTCCGTTGACACGTCTAATGTAATGATTTGTCAGCAGAATGTGGCAGTGTGCTGGCCTTGAAAGTACCCCTACAATGTGTCACCCAGGCATAGTGGCTATATAGGAGTTGATTGGCTCTCCTTATTCTGCATTAGGGCCCATCAACGCCTCAGAGATGATGTACACATCCCTGAATGCAGGCAGACAGTCCTGGGCCTCACCATTCATCCAGACACCACATGAAGCCTTGCACGAATCCACACTTATTTCCGTCCCCATGCGACTAGCGTACAAACATGCATACAGCGAGTGCATATGGATAGATGCCATCTGTCATGCCCTCTGTCTTCGAGTCCCTGCTGAATTTTCTCATTTCTCATTTCACCAATGTATGTCAGGTCCATGCAATCTCTCTCTCATTCTTTCTCTCTCCATCTCATTTGCCTCCAATATTCCTAGTGCTGATGGACAAAGGGCACCTTTGTATATTAGGTCAGCTTCATCAAATTCAAAAAGACGTCAGAGCCACCCCACTGCCATACCCTGTAGAACAATGAGATGAAGAGGACAATGAAAGACAATAATGAACGTCGGCTCAATGAAAACAGATTGGGCCTCAGCAAGCTTGGCAAAGGTCTGCTTTTAAAGGGCTGACAGCCTGACAAAGCTATTCATTGCTATTGTTGGCTGGCAACAGTAGCTACAAAGGGAAGGTTCTGTGGCCCTTGTTCGTGTGGGAGAGAGTCAGACACGGGCTCTTCGGCTTCAGGTACCTGGTTGCGTTGTGTTTGCATTTGGTCTTGCACTACATAACGTCCGTCGCCCCTAGATCTTTTTAGAAGCACCCTGGCTAAGTGTACATGCCTCACTCACATTGTTTTAAATCATGATGTGGCCGTTCCTGTGAACCTGCTGTCATTGACTTGAGTTCGCTCTCCTTTGGCGTTTTAATTTCTCCAAAAGTGCCAAAAGCCTAGTAGAAGGCTCAACTAGCATACTAATGGTCTTTGGTCCCATGCTGCATTCCTGCCAGTGGAACACACAGAGGCCAAACAATGGCCAGATTATTAATAAGCACTTGTAGACTTGAATTTTTGATGGTGTATTCAACTGGTACACATGCGGGGGGGTCGCGCATAATGGTTAACTGGAAAGGTAACTATAATGTGATGAGCTGGGAGCATACGTAATTGTAGGCTTGTCTTATAAAATGTATTCATTACCATATTAATTGTATTATTTTGTTATTGTAGCGTCTTAACCATAGGCCGTAGATTTTATTTTATTTTGTTCTGTTGTGGCAATGGTCTCTGGATTTAAAAAAAAACAATAAGTTCAAGTGGCTGACACTGTTGTTATTGTTGTATTACACATGGTTTGCAGTCTCTGGGTGGAACTGTGTCCAAAGCCATTCTTAGGAAGATTTCTTACTTACTGTAGAAGGGATTAAGTGGTATTGGTCTCCAGGAATTTAGATTAATGCTTAACAAATGTACTCTCTAAGCTCTCCAAGCTCTCTCTTTTTGTCTTGCTTATGTTGTTGTTTGTG